ATGGTCACAAACTGCAGACTTCCCGGAACGTTGGTTCTTCACGTCAGCTATGTGTTCTTTTACGCGGGTTTTTATTGATTATTTTGTTTTATATGAGAGACCACATTCATAATCAAGCTTGTACACTCTTGCATCTTGTAGAGGAATATTGCACTTGACGGATGGTAAGAACTGACCAATCTTCTTCAGCGGCTTGAAGAATGTTCTAATAGAAGCTCGCTTCAAGATGTAGCCAATCTTGTCTGTGACGCCTCTGACATGGTAGTACAGCAGGCACACGCTCGACTGTCGCCGGCTTCCCTCGGTCACTGTGACGTAGGCGCGGGACCCGTCGTTTGTTGTCGTGCAGAACCTGCTTGACGTGCTGAAGCTCGGCGGCCAGGTGTTTGCTGTCACAGATCCCTCATGCTCTCTGTAACAAAGATTTACCCATGGTAGCTAACTGTGAAGGATGATGGTGAGGTTCACCATTTAAATATCGTCTCTATTTACATGCCTACCTGTTGAAGACTGCATCTCAATTGTAACTAGGAAACTAGAGGAAAACAACATGCCAGCAGAATATGCAGTATTACTCAGACATTGCCTTACATCTGGCTATCTATTGTGGAAGGAAGAATTATACAAGCAAGTAGATGGTGTTGCGATGGGCTCACCGGTATCTCCCATTGTCGCCGCAGAAGTGTACAAGTTTGATTGTGAATGTGGTCTCTCATATATAGGGCAAACAAAACGATCAATAAAAACCTGCGTAAAAGAACACATAGCAGACGTGAAGCACAACGTTCCGGGAAGTCTGCAGTTTGTGACCATATCCTAGACGGCCCCCGCCATTACATTAGCTTCGATAAACCATAAATTCTCGCGAAAGAACATCGATTCCTGCCAAGGATGATACGCGAGGCTATTGAAATTAAAAAAGATCCTAATTTGGCTGTGTTTAATTGTGGCTCGGGACCGTGCTTTCTGGCATTCCGTGGGGGAGGCCTATGTTCTGCAGTGGATTTGTGATGGGTAGTATTGATAATGATGATAATGATGACCAAACTTTTTATTACACATAGGAAAGTTCGCTTTGAAACATGGGTTACATTCTGTCAAGAAAGTATCGTCAATGGATGATTTGTTTATAGTTCCAAATTCAATTTCTCGTTTTTTTTTGTTATTATTAGATTGGCACATCTGTATTTCATTTTGGCGCGGAGTTTGAGTTACATCTGTTATTTAGATTAAATAAATCAAAGATATTATATTATACTTCATACAGAATAACATACATCTCTACGTCATAGTTGGAAACTCTTAGAATAGTAGGTACATATACATAGCTTCGTATACAAATATCATAGCTCTTCTCGTTGTATAGCAGAATGCTTTATGTAATGCGGGATCATAAGGCGCGTATCCACCAAAAATGTTGACAACATTTATGTTTCCAACTGTTCAACAAATCAACAAAAGTTGACGACATTTGTTTCCGAAAATGTTTCAAAATGTTGCAAGAAGCGTCTCCACCGAGGGAACAAATGTCGGCAACAAGCGTATTCCTTTGATGTTGCCGCCGAAAATGGAAACACGATTCCCGACATTGTTTCGTTTTGTTGCTAAAACTAGGTGATTACAGAAACATTTGTCGGCAACACGTGTTGACAAATGTTGTGTTGATAACAAAACTTTGGTGGAGACGCGCCATTACGCTCACCAAATGTCGCTAGTTGGCGCAAAGTTGATTTTATTTGTAACGCACATGGTGGTACAGTGTTACCATCGTTGAAAAGTTTTGATTTAAGTATAAGTTGTTCGGTAGCTAGTGTATGTATTTACACAAAACAATGCATCGATGCTATATTGTTTAATTTTTACACATTATTAATTTTTATCTTCTACTTTAAGTCATATCTGTAGTTTGGTTAATCCATTTCTAATGTAATTAATATTAAATATAACTAGTATTCCAAAAAGAAACATTAATCTCTAGACTTCTCATCATATGTACGAGTGTACTTATTCATAATTGGCATAGTTCTTCAAGAAAAGAGCTTACTCCTTTCTAAAAGGCTTATCATCAGGGGAGCCGTCTGCTCGTTTGCCTTCTCTCCAAAAAAAAAAATAGTTTAAAGAACCAAAGATGACCACTTGTCACAGACTATATGATGCCGCGTAGTGTTTCTATATAGTCTGTGTATGATGCTTACCACTTGACATTCAAGCTCTACGCATAAATATTTCAATAGGTTTTTCTTTTTGCCTTATTATAAAAATAATTAAAAATGTGATACATGTATGTATATTATCGACTCAATTTATTAAGAATTGTAGGTTCTCTTGCATACATATATCTCTAATTTTGTGCCTTTCTAGCACTGCTCTATGGCTAAAACGGCTTAGACTTGTGCAAAGAGTATAATAACTGTCCTATACAGGAACTTATGGACTTGTGGCTCCTTGTTTGTAGCTCGTGCCTTGATTACTCTGTGGCTTACCTTGTAGGTCAAAACAGTGTTTTCACTTGTAGAAATTTCGCCCTTTTGAGGGTAAAACGAGTAATATTATGTATGGCTTGAAATAATTGTAATATTATACAGGGTTATTTTTCAAATAGTAGCCAAATTTTAATTTTAAGTTCAAATATATAAATAATAATATAGTGTTATTGTTTAGTAGTAGTAGTTTTTCAATATACGAGTAAGTAAAGCTTCTAGTCTTATTTGAAATTATTAGAAATTTTATGTGATTTATGGGCAACAACTCCGTACGTGCACGCCGCTGTGTCAAAAAAAACCGAGTAGTAAAATACTAAGCGTTAGATATTTACTAATGACAATCAGTTACAATAATGTATTACCGCGCATTTTAAATTTAAGAGATAAAAATTGTAACAATGGTAGAGCCACGCGGCAGCTTTTGCTGTCACACGGATGGGCCGGCTCGAACCGGGGTGGTACCACGACCTCACAGAAAACCAGCGTGAAGGTTACCTCTGTTTTTCGCTTGGTGAGTGCAGGTGGCCGGAGGCCCTTTTTACTGGAAATGAGGCATTCCATCTTAGTCCTCATGGGTGACAACGCATCTATATTTTGATTTGTAATAGATAGATGTAGATGTCTATAGGCCTCAGAAACCTCTTACCATCAGGTGGACTGTGTGCTCGTTTGTCACCCTTATCATATAAAAAAAAGACGGCATGTTTGAGATTTTTTTAAATAACTTTTTTCATCATTTGTCTTTATTATTACCTTACTCTGCAAATTTGGCCGGTTATTACAAAATATCCGTGATTACGGGCTATTTATTTCTACAGGAATTTAAAGCAAAATATAAATCAAGGTGGCGTTTGTTTATTGAAGACTGCACCCAATATGTTCTGTTATTCCATTTATCCACACTAAAACATCCACCCTAGGGTGAATACTCGGAAACGCGTGTTTATCTATCCACCCTACACGGGGTGAATCATCGGAATTCAATTTTATGTGTTCTTCGGACTTTTTACCCCAAGTACAGTTCAACAATAAATATAATCATACACTTTAATTATTAATTCATTTTAAATAATCACAGACTTAAACAAAAATCATATTACTTATTACATTTAAATAAAATGAAATAATATTGTTTTATAATTTATAAATTTTGCAATATGTCCAGAAAATTATCAACACTAATTTTATTATTGAGTAGATAGTAGTTTTACATACTATATAAATTCGTTTCTTTTAATTTACATTTGCTATCGTTTTTTAAATTTCTTTGCTACAAGCTACAATAAATGTGTAGCAAAGAAAAAATGGCATTTTTGCATTGCAAAATATTTGTTAATTTTTTTTTTGATATTTGTCTTTAACTTCATTTAAAATTGTTTTATGACAAGATTCCAACGGATTAGTAGTTCTGTGAGGCACTCTTTTTATTTCAGCTTTGATCTTTCAAACAAGAAGTATGTATATATTTTTTATAGGTTTGCTAATATCTACTGGCCAGTTTTTACCATGTTTCTATAAATGACTGTACACAGCCGACAGTGAAAATCGCTTTCGCGATTCCGAATATCAACCCTAGGGTGGTTTTAAGGTAAATAAACGGAATAACCGAATATATTATTTAAATATAAGGCACCACCAATTTAATAAAAGAAAATTCCCTAAAACGCTTAATGAATGTATTCCGTCTAATTTTAGTTTACCATATTAATTGTGCTATTATTATTGTATAGAACAACATCGAATTGAGTTGTATTATACTTACAGTTGGTTTGTTTTTCATTGTTCATTGCGGAACTATTGAAATTAAAGAATTACGAACTATTATACTAACCCTCAAACGCATATAACATTTGATGAAAACCTCGAAGTGCTCATTTCTATTTTAGTTGCAGTTCCATCTTCTAATATTAAACATACATAACATAAACACAAACACTGACGCCTGTCACCCAGAGGGGTAAGCAGAGACTACGGACTTCCATTTGGCACGATTCTGACACACCTCTCTTGCCTCCTTTATATTACTCTTCTAATATTACGGAATAATAAGTAGTAGATCCCAAAAATGTAAAGAAAACAAAAGGAATAAAATATAAAACTCATATAAAACTGGGAATACTAGCAAACTTTTGCTTAATTTTGAAACCCAAGAGTGCTATGTTTTTCACTCTTTCAATACTCGATATGATATGATGTTGCTGTTTATTATGACTATGTTCCTTAAATGCAGAAATTTCGAAATTTTCTTAGGGATATTTATGGACCTCCTAAACAAACTTAGGGTAAAACCAAATCATCTGTGAAAACACTGGATCGTAGGTCGTTTTACCTTTTCCTTTTCATTTCACTTCAGCTTCAGTTCGTAACGAATTCGAATATTACTCTGTGGTTCGTCATCGTCGGGCCGGGTCGTCACTGCAGTTTATCAAATTACACAAATAATCAATTCGTGTATTCTAACTTTGTGTAGGGCGACCCGATTCCTTACCCGACCAGAGTACTTATTTCCTACCAACAATGTTGCATTTGAAGAACATTGCAAAATCCGTTGTTCCGCCTCTAAAAAGCTCTATTCAAAATGAGGTGGTCAATAACATGCTCAGAATTGCGCCCGCAGCTGTTAACGTTTGCTGTCGAACCTACGCAATGCATGAAATTCCAGACAGGCTCAAGGATGTACCAACGAGCGCAAACCCGAGATTTTTTGATATGGTGGAATACTTCTTTCACAGAGCGTGCCAGGTAATTGAGGACAAATTGGTTGAAGACATGAAGTCCAGAGTTTCCATAGAAGAGAAGAAAAAGAAAGTCGCCGGTATATTGAAACTTATGCAGCCATGTGACCATATCTTGGAGATTCAATTTCCTTTAAAGCGTGACTCTGGAGATTACGAAATGATTCTTGGGTACCGGGCTCAACATTCTTCACACAGGACCCCGACAAAAGGAGGTAAATATCGTTTTTAATTGCTTGAAATTATTGTAAAGCCTTATTTCAATATGGTAATATTTAAATATGCTGTTAGTTTTTGTTAACAGTATTTTTTATTTATAGCCAGGAGACACGTGATGTTAACGATCGTAGGTATCATTACGTAGTTTTTTAACCAAAATTTTTGTGCGCATAACCTGTAAACATCTATTAATTATGTCAAAGAAGCTTTGTGGTTATTTCTAGTTCTAATAAACTGCTAATATTATGTACACCACATAATCAGGATATCATTTATATTCCTGCACTAAGATATAAAAGACCAAAGATACACTTATATCCCAATACACAAATATTTTAAGGTAGTAGTAGTTACATCAATGGACTTAACATCTTAAAATTGAGTAGCGTTTGAATATTTCGCCATTAGAGTGTTAGTAATGATAAATGCAAATTTAATAATTATCATTTTGTTCTAAATATTATATTTGTTATGATAAAGATGCCTCCGTCTCGTGCCGGTCACTTATGGGTTCTTATGGTTTAGCCTAAATCATCTTCACAAAATTATCTTAGGGTGACAAACGAGCACACAGCCCACCTGATGGTAAGTGGTTGCTGTGGCCCATAGACATCTACATCTATCTTCGATTAAGAATCAAAATGCAGATGTTGTCACCCGTGAGGACTAAGATGGAATGCCTCTTTTCCAGTAAAAAGGGTCTCCGTTTCTCTACATTCAGCATACGAAACACAGCAGCATTAAGCTGCTATTTTACGCTTGTATTCTGTGAGAGCGTGGTCCGTCCCCGGTTGAGCCGACCCATTCGTGCTACAACCATAATATAGCTGCAGCATGGCTCTACTATGTATATAAACCACATATATAAATTACATATATACAAAATATACTGCATGAAAGAACTATCGCTTCCACCACAGTCATACTAAATGCTATTGAGCATGAATGTGGGAACTAAGCCACAATTTTTTCAGCTTCAGCTTCGTGCCTTCACAAGAAACTCTTTCAAGCACCCTGACCATTGTGTGCCCTTTATGAACTATTATATTTTGTATGAACCTTTGTAATAAAACCTTCCATATTATTTATTGTAGAATTGTAGAATCATGTGAAGAACTCGTAATAATTTCCATTTATAAGAGCACATCTGGGCTGCAAGTAATATAAAGGTTATTTAGAATAGCTTTTTAACATGAGTGTTGTTGCTGTTGCACTGTGCCCGAACAACTGATAGAGGCAATCAAGACAGAAAACTTACACTTGGACTAACAATACCTATTAATACCTTGACTGAATGTGTTGTTGGTCCAGTGGTTGTAAACGTGGTTGCTGTTCATGATGTTCTGGGTTATATCCCAGGTTGGGACAAAATAATTTATTAGGTTTTTCTGTCAACAAATTCTAAGAGTCAGAAAGTTTGTGGTGTTTTGCTCCTGTACCCCAGAAAGCACGTAAAGCCGTTGGTCCTGCGTCTGAGTTCTCTCCAGTCGTCACTTACCGTGCCATTGGACTATTACATCGGAATAGAGAGTGCACTTGTTCTTGCGCATACACTAGTGCATACTTTATTGCGCATATTACTAGTCTCTGTTGAGACTGGCCGCTGTGACCGAAACTCGGTCTGGAGGACATTACTTGTTTATTATTTATGAAAATTTACGAAATTTTCATCCCTCATTTCTAGTGTTTCCTCCTCCAAAACTGTACTGAATAAAAAGAGGGCTTTATGTGTAAGTTTTGTTTGTTATATTTGTTTGCTGGTTATTTCTAATAACCGCAGTATAACTGGGCAGTTTTAGTTACAAAGTTCTTAATATTTTAAATAATTAATTTATAAAAGAAAAAACAAAACACGAACCTTGGTAGTAGTAGGCATAAGTTGTATCATAAAAGATCCAGGGAGGAAATGGGAATTAGTTTGTATGAAGTAGACGCTATCCGGATATCCTGTTAAATATTTAAAATGAATTAATGATGGTATCCTCAGAGAGAGCATGCCTTCGCTCATTGTGGCACATAATATTGTATACCTACTTCTTTAATCGCTCTTCGTCATAAGCGAAGTTCGCGAATAAAGAGCAGTTGAGACTGTTTGTAATTATTAATTTTTATTATTTTTATATAATTTGTAATTATGTAATTTCACATTCTGAAGATGGGTGGGTGAAGAATTAAAGCCTTTTCAGTTCTTTGAAATCAGCTTTTACTTTTGAGTGGACTAAGGAAATATCACAAGCTCATAGAGAACAACTAGCATATTGTCTAAATAGTTAAGTTAAAAAGTTCATCCCCTACACCCTTGGGTGGCATTTTTCTCCAAATTTATATGGGTCATCCCTGAAGTATATTCTATTAAATAAAAATAGAAATACCAAAATTGGTTCACAATTGACATAACATACAAGAGAACAGAACAAACAAAGATAAAAGAACATGCAGTCTAGTTGAGTACCTCTTTTTGAAATCCACTAAGCTATAAGTACTACTATAAAATCGTTCTATTTACATACCGGTCCCAGAAATTCTAGACATTCTTTAACACTCTAGACACGATCGAAAAGTGGCAGGTTAGTTTTTTTGCCAACGTATAATATTTGACTTAATTTTATTGCTAGAGGGATGTAAAATTATACTTTTTAATAACGTTATTGCAATTAAACAAAACGGTATGTTATTTTAATGTTACGATTAATAAATAATTTGAATAACCTGAGTTTCTTTTAAGTAAAGAGAGAAAGAGAGAGTCTGCAAAGTAAAAGAATATTTTTTGTAATTGCAATTAATGTTCATTTCAGCATAATGAATTAATAATAGTAATGAACTTGCTTATTAACACGATTAAACCTTCGGCTTCGGTCGAAGGTTACATCAAAACTGATCATTCGACTTCGGTTAAAAACTGACCTGCGGTAGGACACTAGTTCGGCCAAAAACAAACAATGAAAAATTCAACATTATGTTGTTTTACTGAATCCTTCTTTCAATTATAATGTTACATGGTAGAGCCATACTGCAGCTATATTATAGTTGTGTGGCGCGAATGAGTCTATTTGATCAGAGTAGGACAACGCTCTTACAGAATAATAGCGTAAAATAGCAGCTTAATGCAGCTGTGTTTCATATGGTGAGTGACGAGAACCGGAGATTGGATATGAGGAATTCCATCTTAGTCCAAAGGGGTGAAATCCCTTCAGTATTTTGATTCTTAATCGATCTACGTGATATATGTTCTCTATTGGCCACAGCACCCATTCACTATCGGGTGGACTGTGTACTAATTTGTCACCCTTATTCTATAAAAAAAAAATGTAGTTTATAATAGTAAATCAAAATGTTTGTATTACTTAATTACTTGCATAGGTATAATACGTTTTCGTCCATAATAATAGATTTTGTGCCATTAGATTCTAGACAGTGGATACTAAACGTAAGATTGTATCCAATTGTACCAAGACAGCCACTTACTTGGCTTAACCTGCTTTTGTCTGTTGTCGATGACTGAGTTCTTTTTGATCGGCTTGACTCACTGAAACTGCGAAGATATGTTGCATCTCTTTGTATATTCTGTCGCATCTACCACGGTGAGTGCTCAGAGGATTTGTTCGGACTAATTCCATTCGCTTAATTCCTGCTAAAAACCATCGAACATCACGACAAAACTCCCGATAACCATCTATACCATCTGGATGATTGACAGTTCACCACTGTGCGATTTACCAGAAGTTTTCTTTCTTGCACAACTTCCTTGTGGAATCATCTACCACCAGTGAATTTACCGGACCGAGACTTAGGGAACCTTAAAGAAGAGCCTACTCTGTTTTAAAAGGCCGGCAACGCACACTGCTATTTCCCTGGTGTTGCAGTTGTTCATGGGCGGCGGTAGTCACTTACCGTGAGGTGAACCGCATGCACGTTTGCCTCCACTTATACATAAAAAAGATAACTCTCGAGTCTCTAACGTAAAACGAGTAATGAGTCATTAACGATACTATCGCGCCGTTGTCATGCATTACAAATCTATGTCGGAAATATTATATTAAGAGATTATTTTCAATGGCATAGCAGGGTGAACGAATAATGGTGTGAAAGTGGATGTTTAACTAGATCTCTTGCTTACGATATTAATTATTATATATACAACATACATTACATAAACATAAAATTGAAGTGTCTGTTTGTAATTTCGAAATACCTACTGCCTTTTATCTAAGGAGTTATTTGCATGCCAATTAAACATAAATAAACACTTTAAAATTTTGTTTGTTTGCCTGGGCACAGATTAATAGTCTGGATTAATATTCGGAATGGCTAAACCGATTGTAAACCCCCCCCCCCCCCCCTTTTAATTTTTATTAGTTATAACTCTGCTTTTACTAAAGAAATACTCATTCGGTTTCTTTCCTTGCTCCATGTTTGTTCCATCATGCTGAATACACGCTTGCAAGAAGCATTAAGAGACAGGAATAAAAAAACAATTGTGACCATTTTTTTCAATTCAGGACAGGGATTTCTGTCTTTCGATTTCGTAAAGAAGAACCAGCGTAAATCCACTTGATTTTTTTTCAACGATCTGTGGTTGAACCTCACGCAAAAGTCCAACCTCATTGTACACTCGTACAGTTTGTCACTATCTAAGTCAATATTTAATAATTCCTGGAGTCTAGTAATGCCTGTCCATGTGATTGGTTCTTTTAGAGATAAGATTTTTATTGCTCGGTATTCCGGATCTTCATCGGACCGGACAGACACCGCCGTATCGACAACGTCGACGGCGTGATCAACAGATGTACACCGGTAGCGCCGCGTTATGTATGTGTCCGCAAAGCGAGTGAGTAGTGACACGTGCGAGCGAAGTATCCGTATAATTTTTTGAATAACCTTAGAAATTATTGCACCTGATAAATTATTGACCTTGTAGGTCGGGAGATTAAACATTATTACCGGATTCAGTCCGGGAGGGTTAGGAACCCTAACCAGAAGTGATCTTAGACTATAT